GCGGGGATACATATATGCTACTGGACTGATGCGGAAGTGGGAACAGGTGTGCGGGGGAGGTCACACCGGGGTTACTAAAATGCAGGTGGGTATAGTATATGGCAGAGGTAAAAAAAAAATGGCAAGGAAAATGTGAGATAAGGAATAGGTTGACATTGTGACTTGGTGAGGGAGAAGAAGAGCTTAGATAAAGTGGTTGCAGGTGTATGGGTGACTCAAATAGGGTAAATAGGAGTGAAGATAGTTGGTTGGCTGATTAGGTGCTGTACATAAAATCTTGCCCTGAGCATCCCTCTGGCTGCCCTTTTCATGGTGATTCCTGCATTTCCATAATGCCGCTGTCTGATGGTTGAGTGTCTGAGGTTGACACACACACACACGCACACACACACACACACACACCCAGCTCAGAGTGTGAGCTGCATTGGACAGCACATCAGGTTTTTTTCCAGGGCCATGTTTTTGAGTAGAGCAATGACCTTGCTTTTACAGACAGAATTTCCACAGAACTGAACCTTTTAAGGGTTTGTTGCTTCCATCCATTTCTATGTATTATCTAAAAAAATCTTTGTATGTGTGTATTGTTATGCATTCTGTGTGAGAGTGCTTTCATGCATACTGTATTAGTATGCCACCACCCCAGCCATGAACCCACCTGTATGAATCAGTTTCTAGCATTAGGAATCCTCACCAGATTTGTGTATGCGCATGTGTATTTCACACTCATTACTTTAAATGTAAAAGTCGTCGATCATAGCATCCCTGTGGAAAATATTCAGAATAAGTACTTTTGAGAGGATTTGTGGAATTTAAGTGAAGGAATGGTGCAGTCAAGAGCGGCGTTCTTTTTTCAGATGTAACCCCCTCTCGAACACATGCACGCACACACTCTTCTTCCATCAAGTCTCCACTGTTCATCCTCCACTTTATTGCCTGCAGGCACTCTAACTTGGAGTCTGAACTTATTATGCTTCTCCCTTCTCTGAATTTTGGTGCACTCAGCTTGTGAATGGAGAGGGAATGAGCTCATTCTACCTGCGTCAGCACGAGGAATGGTTATGCTGTAGACGGCTCGGTGAGAAAAGTGTAATGAGGAAGCACAGGTTTTTCTGAGGTGGAGGTGGCCCCACGCATTTGGGATCGGCTTCTCCCCTCTCAACCAATCAACCATGACGTGATTTAAGCGCCTCCTGCCGCTGCAGGTGAACTCCACGAGAAGCAGATTTATGAAAATGTTCAACTTTTTCCTGTAAGACCGCTCCAGGCTCTCTGTCCTCTCTCAAACCCAATCAAGCAAAACGCTCCATTTTTCTCTCTTTGTCTCTTCTCTTATCCTCCCTCAGTCAAACCTGTCCTTACTGTGTCTCTCCATTTTGCACGCTATCACACCTTTGTCCTCATCTCCAAGAACAAGGGAAATAGGGATGACAAATCTTTCTTCTCAGCAGGGATTGCTGGAGGGATTTTTTTCATTGATGATGGCTGATTCTTTCATGCTGCGTTCGAGGAAGGTAATGCTCCCATACTCTGCTTTCTCCTCGCGGCAATCATTGAGCTTAAATGCTTACCCATGGTCTTGGATATGAACAGTGTGCTTATGCTGCTAAACAAACATAAATACTCTATTTTTGCAATCTTTTCTGGAGAGCACAAACGAAATAAACAACATGACTGTCAGTTCAGTTTTCTGATAAATGGCCTTGTGCGCTCCAGTTGTTGTGACATAGAGGGCAAAAAAAAAGAAAGAAAGGAGAAGATCGAGGAAGAGAATGGAGGGAAGATGACAAGATATGGTGTTTGTCTGATCCTTGAGAGGGGAGAGGTTTCATTACCTGAGGGACTTCAGCAGGGGATGTCTCGGCGGTGGTGTATTTTCTTCTTACTGCTGGTCAGAGTTGTGGCTCTGCTACATACACTTCTGTGTTTTTAGTCACTCAGGGATTTCAGTGGCACCAGGAGGAGTCAGACAGCCCAGGAATCAGCTGTGATGGATGGCTTTGTCTGTCCTCGAGGATGGAGGGGTCACCGGGGTTCACAGTGGTGATGGAGACACTTCCCTGCTCAGCCCCATGACTTTTTTAATTAACCTCTTTGGGAGGACCAGACTCTTCCTTTAGAGGTAATCACAGCCTGGAAAGTCCCTTCATTAGGACTCATCTGACCTCTGTGTGTCCAGCAGTGTGCAACGTTTCTTTCCCTATATCCTCTACCTCCCATTCAATACAGTAATGACACTGCCACACAGGAAGGGAGACAACAGCAGTGAGAGGCTACAGGACATTTAGAAAATGTACCAAGCCCTTCAGAGTTTTCATACTCTGTAACCTCTCCATTTCCGCGTTCACACACCTCAAGTCTTTGTTTTCTAGTCTCTATTCATCTCTCTAATTCTCCCAGCTAGATTTCGTTTTATTTCACAGCGAGGCAACTTCATTGATCCCAGCAAGAGACAATCGTAGTTTAATGGCAAATTAGGCAAGTCACCTCCTGCCAGATGCCTTTGTACCTTTACTCTTCTTATCTCTCATTTTCTCCTCTCTGCTCTTACTGTGAACCTTGTGGCCTCATTATACACAAACAGACAAGATGCATAGACAGAAATAAAAATGTATCCTATTTTTCACATTAGACTTCTAAGGGACAAACAAGCTTCAGTACTCCTTAGGGGAAGCGAACCCCTCTGAGTGATGCCCCAGAACAAGCAGATCAAACGCTCTCCTCCGACTCCTCGCCTTTCTTCCTATCTCTATTTTTGTTGCCTTCTTTCATGTTGGGGAACAGTGGCTTAAGTGGCTCTATTGGAGCTCTCTGATGGGCTCTCAAATGAAGCCTGTGTGAGCTTGGGAAATAAATTGGTTTGTTCTGAGGCTGTGATGCTAGTGGTGCCCCCTGCTGTTCGCTCTCTGATCTGTGCTGTGGCTGAGTGGGCCGCGCGATGCACAGAGGGGCGGGGGGGGCGTCTTGAGCGGCAAGTAACACAAGGCTGGCAGGGAAGAGGTCAAGAAAAAAAAGGGGAATGGGATGAGTCATGCAACTTGCTTTGTCAGAGCATTTACATTTCATTTCAGTCGATGAGAGTTTTATACATGCAAAATGGACACTCTACATGTAATTTATTCAGAATGGAAGGATGGGATAGGAGAGATATACATGGACCCACAACTCCCCCATGTGGACAGCCTGCACATAACCACTTTTTAAAAAATACTTTTTTTTTATTTCTATGAACTGACTGTCAGTACACAGACCATTGAAGCCCTAATATTCCAACTTATAAATTGGAACATTAGAGCTTCAATGCATGTTCATGACATGCAGCCGATACTGCCATAATGTTTTTTGCTATGTAGTTTCTCACAAAACTTCTATTTCACATAGGCCAATGAAATGCCAAGCAGAATCAGTTTGGTTTGTTCTTGCTTCAAAAAATCTACCTCTGAATTATTCATATTTCTGTAAGATCCCTGTTTGTCCATATCTTCTTCATTCACATGCAGCCTAGCAGGGTCCTTGGCTTTCCTGTCTGGCTTATCTAAAAGTACGAGTTGCTGTAGTCAGTGTGTGTGTGCCAGTGATGTGTGTGATTTGTGTACCCACACATGTAGATCTGTGTGTTTGCATATGATTGGCCAGAGAAACCAATCTCAGTCCCTAAAACAGGAAGGCACAGAGCCCCTTTGTTTGACTCTGTATCTTTGCATGTGTTTATCTGCACTGTTTTCCTACTGTTACAGAATAATCAGCGCTTTCAGTGTGAAAACAAACACGTCTTGCAGATGCTGACACATTAATTACATACTACTGAACGCTTATACTTCCTTCACCTCTTCTCTTAAAAGACTCATACCAGTTATATTACTTTGCAACAAGTCTCCCTTAAACTTTAATGTCATTTACATTAATGATATAATGAAATTTTACCATCTGGGCTTTGGCTTTAAGTTTACAACTCACTGCAGTGACAAAAGAGTCTATAATATTTTAGTTGCCATATTGAGGCTGTTGACTATTTAATGTTAACATTGTTTTTTCCACATAATGAATAATAATTGTGGACTGTTGTGGTATGCATTGTGTTATCATATTGACTTAATCTGTTACAAAACATGTCGACATAAAGTTATAGTAAACTAGACTTTAAACTGTCTCATTGTTAAGGGTTTCACAGACCCCACTTCTGTAAGTCTACAGTATGTAATCCCACACAGTTAAGTTACCTACTGAATGTTCAGGGTCAATTAGCCCCCAGAGAAAGAAAGAAAGAAATCTCTGTTAAATTTAAGAGAGAGAGTGCACTGTTACTATAGATACTATAATATAGCTATTATGTTTAATGTTGCAGCAGGTTGAGGTGGAGCTATTTTTAGCGACTTTACAGCCCACTATTGGGTAGCTTCCTACATAATAATGCATCATATTTATATATGATTTTATAAGCTGATTATGTGTTTTACATGTAACATCTTAATCTACAAATAACTAATACAGCTGTCAAATACATTTAATGGAGTATAGTTGCAATATTTTCCTCTGAAATGGGTATGGTATCCTAAATTGGATATGTAAATGTACTTAGACACCACCACTAATTACAGGTACATAGCATCAGCATAATGTAGGAGATTTAACTCCAAAATATGGTTTATAGTTTATTACAACATTGTGGTCTATTTCGATTTCCACCACTGTTTTTAAAACAATTTTACCCTCTGATTTCGTGAGTTCACAGCTTTATAATTCCATCACAGACACGCCCTGAGGCTGACAGAAGTTGTGTTTGTATGATAAACGCCAAAGCCGATTATGACCCAGGCCCGGAGGCAGGGCAGCGGAGGTGAGCCGGCCACTTTTATTGGTCGCCGGCAGTGTCAGGAAGTACGAAGCAACCAATAGCACGGCGCGGAGATTTATCACTGCCTTTGACCATCCGACCTACAGTACCTGTCAACACAATGCACTTCTCCTGTAAAGGTACCTTTATTTAGAAAGTGTGGCGCCAATAAGGCAGCTGTTTAACGAAGCGCTTGTAAAAAAAAAAATGACGGAACCCTAATTGTCCCCGGAGAACGTCTGAGAGGGGGGTTTATAAACGAAGTTGAGCACAGTTTGTCCCTCTTATTATCAGCAACCGGCCGGACTCTGGGAATGACATTTGTTGCCACTTACAGGATGGAGTGGCTGTTCCCGCGGTGCCATAAAGAGGCTGCCTTCTACTCTGTATGTCGCTCTGTGCTGCTCATGTTATGTTTGGTAAGAGCTGAGATTATTTATGTATGTGGACCTTTATGATCGTTTGTCATTTGAAAACTTTCAGAAAAGTCTTACGTATTCCACAGCAAGAAGGCTTTGATGTCAGAAATGCTAAATTGTTATTAATTGTGTTTGTTTTTTCTCCTATTTGGGTTGGATTTACGTCCATCTATGGCTCTGGCTGTGATGTGTGCCGTGCAGAGAAGTAGGACAGATTATAAATTGGTCACTGCGTCCAAGCCCAGGCCTATACTCATTTATCTGTGACAGACAGCGCCAAATAATAAGAGGATAAATACTGAATCCAATCCAATCCAAACATGGCAATCCTCTCAGAGGGCAGCAGATAATTAAATTGAGTTATAACTTCGCCTCATCCAAACATAATATAACATGAAACAGCCAAATGTCCAGATAATTTATGACAGATAGGAACATCACCCAGGGATGCCACAGACATGCTCTTAGAGTCTTTTATTTTGGCATTTCAGCACTTTGAGATGTTTTTGTCCCTTGTTGCATCCACACCACACTCAAACCCCCTTTTCCACAGCTCCTGGTCCTGTCTGTGTCCATGTACCCTGGGTTGTGGTCCATTGGGGTCCAACTTCATTCAGCCCTCACGGGGAGCTACGTACCAGGCCACCACTCTGTCCTTCTCATCAACAGTCCCAATGAACAGGCAGCCAAGGACATTGGCAGGTACAGTGGTGACTCAACCAAAAGTTACATCTCACAGTCTGCGTCACACCCTTGTAGCGCTGTGAAATTGAATTATACACATGGTTTCGTTTGTAATGTTCGGCCTAAATGATTCCACTCAAAGAAGTCAAACAGTTTGGGCAAAATACATAAAAATGGTGAATTTGCGAGCGTTATCTCATTTGCTTTCTTGTTCAGAGTGAAATGAGAAGATCGATTCCACACCCGTGCAGTTAACGTGAAAAAAAAAATAATCCAGCACCACTAAAGCCGACTAATTATTAACATGTCCTCCTCACAAAAGAGATAAAACATGTGAAATCCAGTCTGTGTGCTAAGCTAAGCTAACCGGCCACTGGCTCTAGCTTAATATTTACCACACAGACATGAGAGTGGTGTCAATCGTCTCATCCCACTCTCAGCAAGAAAGGGATTAAGA